CCATATTTTATAAGATTCTTAATATATCGCCAATTACATCCAAAGAATTTCTTAATTACATAATAGAATCCTCTCGAATCATTATGAAATTGAATTTTTATATCTAGGAAATCTTTTTTAGAATCTAATCGAATTCTTATCTTGTAACCAAGAGAATTTCTAGAGAGATGGACCCCTCGAGATTTCTACGATTTTTTTCTTTTATCAGAAAAAACAAAACCAAATAGTAGTATTTAAAATATTCCAGGCGGGAGAGGGATCCCGAACGTACGGCGCCTCCCGTTGAGCCATAAGATAAAATATATCAGATTCTACATTTTGTCGAAACGTAAATGCAACGTTCTTCTCTGACCCCCTTCTTGCTATATACGGTCTCGAAATAAATCACCTGTTGTTAGTGATCTGAGGACACCTGGATTGATGTCGCGGTCATATATATATATATATATATACAGAGGTATATCATTAGGTATATCTTCTGGATCTTTTCTTCGTTGCCGGCGAGCTTAAATGAATTCGCACACATCGTGCAAAGAAACCACCAGCCTCAGTCCGGAATTTTTTCGAAACGTATTGAGACTCCATGCTGTCACTGAGATGCCGACTCCTGCTGCGCTTGGCCACGGCCCAGACGGATGGTCGCCAGTTTTTGACCTAAGCTGCCACGGCATAGCGGAAGCGTAAGTGGGCGAAACGAGTTGGCATGCTCCGGGCCGGCATCTTGCGAGACTAGCTCAGCAATGACACCTGGGGAAAGTCTGGGGCGGCAGGTTCAGGGGTGGGTTTATGGCTTGCAGAACCCATGCGGCACTGGCCAAGCTGATTGAAACTGTCTGGAGAAAACTAGCCGGAATACGTTCTTTCAACGAGGTGCAATGAACGACAAGAACTTCGATTGCTCGATGGCACTTACACGAAACATCACAAGGTTGCTTGAACATGTTAAAAGTTAAAAGCATGGCACGAGTACTCAATGATACCAGCCGCACGGCACTCGAATTCAAAGTGACGACCGAACAGTCTCTCGGCCTCGGTGCCCGCCGCGAACCACTTCGATGCGGCTGCATGTCTTGGACCTTAGGGGCAAAAGATTGGATTTTGCTTGTTGGGAGATTAGCTTCAGCGTAGGAGAAAGATCATTCGATCCGAGCAGCACCAACAAAATGGATACGCTCCAATGCACGCTATGTTCATGAAAAGAAACTAGATGAATTCGATGCAGGCAGTGCATGACATGATCATCCTTCATCATCTTCTGGCTACTCCAGTTGCTGCAGCGATTTCGAACCTCAGGTTAGCCCAAAGCTTCTATTTAGCCGCAGAGAGACCTTGGTGGGTGAAAAGCTTAGGAACAGTAAGACAGCACTGCGCAACTTTAGGGTTTTGATCCTGCTGCGCGCGTCCAGGCATTGAGAGGAGCTGAGTACTATAGGGGCCTCCTCAACAATTAGAATAGGGTTTTGGGGCCCATTATATATTATGTATAATCAGGAACCCCGCCAATAGTATATTTAAAAAGGGCCCTACATTACCTCTTTCAAAGCGAGCTGCACAAACGTCTGCAGCTTGCCCTGGGGCACCATCTTCAGCATCCTTCGTGGCACTCCAGCGACAAGCTTGCTCCGCCAGAAGCTGCAACTGTGACTCTTCGTGGCATGGCAGGTTCTGGCCTGTCGGAGTCATCTAGTGCCTGAAGAAGCAACTTTCAGTTCGAGGCTTCCAACTTCCTGAGCTCTGAGATCTTCAAGGTCGGGGCAACATCCACGGCACCTCTTGCAGCATGACGGCCTGGAGCACTAGTCTCCGTTGTAGTTCCTTTTTGGGCTTACCTTAGAGGATCCTAAATAGAAGCCACAAAACGGAACTACCATAGAGCCTCTAGAATCTAGTCAGTATGTACATACCCTCGTGAAGTACGGTTGTACTCTAGTATGCGTGCGGCAACGTGCTATAACACATGTATACGTACACCCCTGACGTTCGTGCACGTATGTAGTATAACGTAGGTACCTTAGTTTATACCATGCTGCAAGAACTACCCCTCAAAGTAGTGTCACGAAAGGCGGTATTGTGACTTACGCAGACGTACTGTCTTTTACATATACATCTACCTGTTTGTGGTCTGACCACACTCTCGTTCTACCGTGTTTTCAGTGCCGTTTATTCATGGACGTGCTGCCATCTTGTCCTGTGTACGATGACGACAAAACATTCTGTGCGCTACAGTCTTCTACCACGAACCGTGATAACCGAACCACATGGCTAGTACTGCTGTAGCTACAACAACTGAACCTGAAACTGCTCCACGATAGATCTCTGGTAACATTCACGGCTTCTTGCTTGCTGTTCATCATGATTCGGCTATTGTCTTTTATGGCTTTTATCATCTTTGTGATCTGCCTGTGATCATGCTCATGACCAGCGTCTAGGGGCGAATGTCATCGCTAGGCTGCGCTGCTGTTTGCCATCCAAGGGGCGTCGGACAACCCCCGTCTGCAAATGGTACGTCTTCAACCTGCAGCTGCAATAACAGCTAGCGCGGTTCAGGTGTGAAAGCTGGTAGTCAACGAGCACTGTGAGAGTTTCCGAAACTTCGGGGTACCTTATTAGGATCCTACTTTACAGGGTGCAATACTGGGGTCCCTAGTTTGGGAAACTCCCCTGTATTGACAGCTCACGCAAAGCAAACGAATAGGTGGCCCACTCGCCGGTCTCGCTCAAGACTCGAACTCGCATGCCCTTGCCTGCCACTTCTTCACCCACGCCAAGTTGCAAAACTCTTCAAGGTTTGAGAGCCGGGCTTGGCCAAAGGCTCTGCTCTTGTTCTTCCAAAGACTCGCGTTTAGGCACGAGACCTGCGCCATACTGGGCGCAGCTGTGCCTTAGGAAGCTCTGCCTCAGTGAGGGTGCTAACGGCAAAACACCTCGAGTATCTTCATCAGCTGCCTTTGGGGCCTGTCAGGAGTCCACCAGCTATGATCAAGTAGCAAGATCGCTCGAATGCAGCACCAGAGGATTTGTGCGAGCACCTTGCGCTTTGCGAGCTTCGGAGGCGGCCGGAGGAGTGGATTGGCTGACTCCTGAGTCTGTCTAGCTGGGCGCTCGTTAGTATGTCTATGCCTCATGTTGAGGCTTATGGCTTCGAGAAATTTAAAAATGGCCCAAAAACAGCTCCGTTCTGAGGCCGGGACCGCCTCTTCGTCGGCTTGTCGTGCGGCTTCTTCTTCCATGGCGGCCTGGATCCCGCCGGTTCTCACGCTCGGACGCGACGCTCTTCTAATGGCAGCGACCCAGACCCCCGGGAGGATCCAAAAAGTAGATCCCCTTAATGGGGGTTCCTATAAAGTACCCTTAGTTGTCTGGGGTTTCAAATTAGGGGATCTACTTTCCAGATCCTCCCGGAGGTCTGGGGTTTCACATGGCATCTTGTTGAAGGAAGCTCAGTTCAACGGAATCCCCATCGGTGCCAAGGGGGCACCAGCCGCATAGAAACTCTGTGACACAAAGTAACATAAAATGAGATCGGCCCCGATACTTCACTATAAAACTGTTTCATGCACATGATGGGAGGCATACTATGCCTGATTGTTCATACCCTCATATCAACCCATAATTACAGGAAACTTTGCCCATATGGGAGTTTCCGAAGACAGGGGACTCTAACAAAGTACCCTCAACTGTAGGATCCTTATTGTAAGGACCCCAAAATACGGCACCCCCACTTTTCGGAAACTCCCCATATACACTCTTATAGTGGCCCTTGTAGTAACCCCTATATAGTACCCTTACAGTAACCCTTTTGAAGGAACCCTAAGGTACCCCGGTATGTTCCTTACTTAAGGAATATCGGCCCCTTGAAACAGCCCCTTATCTCGCTTACAAACCGCGCTCCGCGACTCTCAGGGAGGCACCAGGTCCAATAGCTTGCCCTGGGTGCCCACACCTGGGATCTTTTTAGTAGTAGTAGTAGTAGTAGTAGTAGTAGTAGTAGTAGTAGTAGCAGCAGGAGCAGTAGGAGTAGTAGTAGTAGTAGTAGTAGTAGTAGTAGTAGTCGTAGTAGTAATAGTAGTAGTACTAGCAGCAGGAGTAGTACTAGTAGCAGTAGTAGTAGAAGTAGTAGTAGTAGTAGCAGCAGGAGTAGTAGTAGTAGTAGTAGTAGTAGTAGTAGTAGTAGTAGTAGTAGTAGTAGTAGTAGTAATTCTGGCTCCCACTTGTCAGCGTAGTAGTAGTAGTAGTAGTAGTAGTAGTAGTAGTAGTAGTAGTAGTAGTAGTAGCAGTAGTAGTAGTAGCAGTAGTAGTAGTAGTAGTAGTTGTAGTAGTAGTAGTAGTAGTAGTGGTGGTAGTGGTGGTAGTAGGAGTAATAATAATATTGAAATAATAATGCTTAGCCGCAGTCGTAGTGCGTGTAGTAGTCAGAAAACTGTTTCACACTCGGCCTCGCCGAAGTCACGGTTCGCAGCCGGCGTTTGGACTCGGGGGCTTCTCCTAAACCCTGGCAAGAGGAGTCTACCAGCACAAGGATCTTAGCTCGGGGGATATCGGGCTTACCTAAGAAGACGGTTTCAGTTCTCAAGACCAAGCCTTGTACGGGAGTTTCCGCGAAGAGGGGGGCCCTAATACGGTACCCTAAATAGTAGGATCCTTATTAGAAGGACCCCAAACTACGGCAAACTACGGTATAATTGTCGGAAACTCCCATATACTATTCCTATGGGGGCCTCTGAATATATCCCATATAGACTCTTATAGTAGCCCTTATAGTAACCCTTACAGTAAGCCTTTTAAAGGAACCCTAAGGCCCCTACCACTTTCGCCTTTCAGGATCGCAGGACCAAGGCCCGAGCGTTGCTTCTTGCGAGTTGGGGCCGCCGTCTCTTTCGGCAGAGGCGGCGGTGGCTGCTCACGCATTTGATGCCTAATGACCAGAAAGGAGTTTAGGTTATTTTCTTTTTTGTTGAACTCCTTTTTGCGTCTGCCCCATGGTTAAGCATCAGGAGTTTAGGGTTTTTAGGGTTTAGGGTTTAAAGTGATGTTGTGGATACTGCCCCCATACAGTAAGAGTCCATAATAGGGCTACTATTAAGGGCCTAGTATATCTATAATTTACGAATATTATCCAACTGTTACTGGGTGGGGGCAGTATCCAATTGATGACCAGAAAGGGTGCAGGCGTTTAGGGGTTTTAAGACGTCCCATCGGGATCGGAGTGTCGGGGTTGAGGGCTTAATGAGTGGTGACCACCCAGGGAGAAACCAGACCCAAAGCAAGAAATAGGTACATTACGACGAAATATGCCTGGCATGCGATACGAACATGCGAAGCACGGCAGTTCTCCCAGCAAGACTTAAGAAGACTCCACCAAATCGGAAACCACCAGGAAACATGCAGAACAATGAGATCATGACTTAGATGCATGTTCACCATTTGGCGCATGCTGCATTCTTTGCGCATGTTCGTGCATTCTAGACTGCATGAGAGCAACATTGTTTGCATTCGCAACTGCCGCCACAAAGAAATCCAACTGCAGTTTGAGGGCGGGCTATCTTACCGCACAAGAACTCGCACTGAACAACGAAGGTTTTGTCTGAATTCCCCGCTCACATCCAGGGTTCAGTGGTTTTCTTGACTCTCGCAGCTCGGACCCGGGGCCACACCCCCAGAGGTCGGCAAGAGTATTTCTAAGGTCGAGGGACGAGCCCGCATTTCAGGGGTTTGTCGGTCGAAGTTGGGTTTAGGGTCTTTTGACACTCACACCGGAGAAGCCTGGCAAGAAGCAAGTAGAACAGGGTCGATGCTGGAGTATAGTGAAACGCGGACTTTATTGGGATACGCTAACTAAGCATTCCGACCCTTGTATGAAGCTCTAGTATCGGGCTACTCCTGATCCTCCATGCTTGTCTTGGGAGCGGGCGCACTTCTCACGTACTCCTGCTCGAGTGCCTTCGCCTGACACAAGCTCTTGTCTCGTGGGTCTGCTTGCGCAGAAAGCCGTAAATTCCATACCCTAGCGCCTGTAAGGCCTATGACTTCACAAGCCATCACACGCGTGGACAACATGCAACGGTAGATGGACATGCATCTGCCGTTCTTCCCACCTCGCGTTCCTCCACGGACAATGGCGCTGAGTCCCTCGGGCGATGACGAGACAGGCGAACTGGGCCCAGAAAGCCCAGTGCCCTCTAAATACGGGGAGATATGACTTGGCATAGACAGAGATGCTCAGTGTAATCAGAGGGTTGCAACCCTAAACCCCTATATACACCCTAAGCCCCTCTTTTTGCCACTGGACTCAAGTCTAAACCCCCTCTAAACCCTGAACCCTAAAAGCCCCGAACACTAAACCCAGTCGTTTTTGGCTTTTTGGGGCCCTAACCGCATGACTGAGTGCCTGGCGGCGCTGCAGCAGGCAGGGGTTCTATGCCGGTCCGCCTGGACAGTCTTAGAAATAAGAGTTTAGGGTTTCGGGTTTGGGGTTTAGGTGTTTAGTGTTGGCTGGAAGCCCTGGATGACCCACGACCTACGACATTTCAAACCCGAAGATTCCTTCAAAGCTGCCGCACGTGAAGAGACCAGGTTGCTCAACTGCTGCCGCCAGGTTTGAGTCTGCAAGTTTTGCAAGCCCGCGATTATCGGTAGAACACTGACACCGCCCCGACATGGAGCCGCAAAACTGTGAGACAGTGGCGCCTGTTGAAGCTTCGCGCTTGAGAGACCTCCCCGGCCAACAAGCGCTTGTTGACACTTTTGTTCAGCTGCGCGTCCTCTTCAAGGTACGCCTGCCGCAGAAAGCAACTCGAACGTTCGCATGCAATGCCGGCTGCGCAAAGCATGTGAGCATGTGATGCTAAGTAGCGCTGGCTGCTGAGAACACATGTCACCCTTTGTCACCGTTTGGGTGAGTCGATGCCTCAAGACCCCGGATTAAAACCGAAAAGCATGGTCCGTCGGTCATCGCTGGCAAGGGATGATAGGCGTTGCAGCGTTGCAGCAACAGGCATCAAGTACACTGACGACGCAAATCAAAGCGTCCAGATATGTCCAAATGGTACCTTCTTCGGGAAACCCCAAGCTCCCCCAAGCCCAACATCGTAAATCGCATCCGAAGGCCCTAAACCCTCAAGTCTAATGCACCCATAGGAAGCCCTATTTATCTCCTCATATGACCGCCAGTTGGCGCCCTTCATTCTTAGACCCCTCTAATCCTGGTCAGAACCATATACAGAATGTCGAATGCCTATACCGACATACTGATTAGACATCCTGTGAAAACTTAGCCCCGCAAACTTGTCGGTGAGGCAGTCATTCCGCTGGCTTCGGCCTGTTCAGCCTGCCAGGAGTCCAGCTTCCGGTGGGGGGGTCCAGTAAGTCGAGTCTGGTATATACAAAGAAGATGCATAAATGAGCAATAATACGTATGCACAGGAACATGCGCACACGGAGACATTTGTTTGTCTATATGTATATCACACCTACGAGCAGAGACTTGCTTATCTAGTTATGCATATTTATATGTGTACTTGTTTGGCTCCCGCATGGCAGATCCGAAGAACGCTTGGAAGGTTACACGTGGGCCACTGGGCGAGGGGCTACTCAGCAATCACCCCTCACAACCTGGACAAGTAGTACACATTTATATGTGTACTTACGGCTGCATATAAAAATGAAAACGAAAACAAACACACAAACAACTCTATACATATGTACTTCTTGTAAATATATACTGATGGTTATAGTACGTAAACTACAACGCCGCGTGCGATGCTCGGCTGGCCTTTTTGTACCTGCTTCACTCGACTCGATGATGTGCATCTGTGGGTATGCATGTCGTTCCTAAAACTTCTTGCAACGGGCTTCCTTTCTAAAACTTGAACAACACAACATTCCAAGGGCAAAAGGAGGGACCCTTAATAAGGACCCCTAGGTATATACCCTTAATATGGCCATTATATACTCATTATATAGCCCTTTCTAGGGTAGGGGTCCCCTTTAAGGGTCCCTCCTTTTCCCCTTTGAAACATGAAAAGTGCCAGCTTTTGTCTTACTGTCGCGGAGATGCTCACATCGACCTTCACTTTGAGCTCTTGCAGGCAAAATGAAGGTTTACCTATAGTCTACCCATAGGCCCCATAGTAGTTCCTTTTGGGGGTTCATATATAGAATTCTATAAGGTAATCCCCGTAAGGAACTAGTATGGGGCCTATGGGTGCATTGCAGTAGTTTCTTTCGTTAACTAACTCAATAGGTTTATATTAGTGGAACCTAACTTACCCAGAAAAACTGGCTGATGGGAAACGGAGCTACGGTGACTACACGGGAGTCTGATCACCGCAAAATTAAGCATGGCGCCCTCGGAGAAGCTGCACAGGACTGATCCGGGCACTACCGCTGGAAGCATCTGGAAGCTGCAGCTACAAGCTATGCACGTCGCCATAACCTCAACACACCAACCCAAATAAAGCACCCAAGCTCCGCTGCTCTTTTTCCAAGCTGAAGTGCTGAACGAAATTGTGCTCTCGAAGGCAGGCCAGATTCCGTCACGCCACGAACGCATGGTGGACAAGACTTCGAACTAGAGCACTCAAAACTTGGGCTGGCGTCGTCAGGTAGCAAGCTGAAACCTGATTCGCTCATGCACCCACAACAACTTGGCTTCGCCTGTGCATGTGACAGTCTTTACAAGCCGACAGGGTAAAAAGATGAAAAGATGAGACCTGCAAGGTCTTAGTATCAGAAGCAATTGGGAGTCATGTCCTCGCTCTCCTTCCCGGCAAGTGGGGATGAAGAGTGCTTAGATGAAGGGGGAGACCTTGCGGACGACGCCGCGGCCCTGGGAGTAGTGGTAGAGGGTGGTGTAGCCCAGGTGAAAGGGCAACCAGGCGTACTGCAACACCTTGCCCAGAACCTTGTGAGCATCGATGGACTGCTTGGCCAGGCGGTCGTTCCTGCGATCGTCCTCCGCGTTGCCGGTCTTGTCAGAGCCGGGTGCCCACTTCAGGAAGTACTCGTTGGCGATGCCGGATACGGGCAGCAGCAGGGCGAAGGCATAGAAAGCCCGCAAGCTTTGTGTCTCGATCATCTGCACGACTTTGTTGCCCGGGAAGCGTGGTGGGATGCCGCTTTGCAGTCGGAAGATCACACGGAAGACCAGTGCCACCAGCATGACAATGCCGGTCTGCTTGTGCCACCAGAGCATCTGCTTCTTGGCCTGGCCTTCCGAGTAGGATGCGGCCTGGGCGGTGCCCACAGCCCCGAAGATGCCAACGGCCATGATGAGATGAAGGTGCCGCAGCGCCCTGCTGTAGGTGAATTGCGACAAGGGCTTGCGGTTCTGGAAAGTCTTGAAAAGGTACCAGGCCAGGGCGGCAACCGCGACGTCCGTGACCTTGTACTTCAAGTAGCGGCCAATCTCAGACGTCTCCTCGCCGACTACCTGCTGCACTGCCGCCGTCTCCGACCAGTCCGTGTTCTCTGCAGGCACCAGCTGGCCCACCAGCATCTCGCGGTCTCGCTGCACCCGAGCCTTTTCAGAATGCTCGAAGACCTCGAAATCCTTCGTGCAATCTGTGCCTGCCTTGGACATCAGGATGTCGTCGCCACCGGGATGGCTTCCGAGCAGGGGCTTGAGGTTGTAGACACGGTTGTGGATGATCATGTACGGCTCATCCGCGGTGTTGTGCTTGGCCACCTCTGCACGTGAGAAGAAAGGCAGGTCCTTGCCCGCGGAGATCTCCGCCAACTTCGGGAAGCGGCTCTCCTCTGAGAGCGTCGGAGCATCCGTCTTGCCCGGCACCTTCACGGCCGTTTTCACCGCCTCGATTTCCTCCTTGGAGGGCCCCTCAAGGCGCCGCAACTCATCGTGCAGCTCCTGTAGTTCCATGATGATGGAGTCCACGGGCTTCTCTGGGCCGACCTTGCCGGTCTTGAACTCCGGGCGCATGTAATACTCCATCCACTGCTTGCTGGGGAACCGGCCAGGGATCTTGTCGAACATGGGCGTCGCATCCCGCCCGGCCCATGCCAAGATGGAGTTGCGCTGCTCCTGGTGGTGCTGCAAGAAGTCCGTCAGGTCATAGACCTCGCCACAGATGGCGATCCAGCAGTCGTGCGGCTTGTTGTGCCGGGCCACCTCCGACAACGGGATGTCACTGCTCGTCCAGCCCATGGGTACATCGTGCTTGTGCGCGTGGTCCTCGTGCGAAAGCAGCTCCTCCATGCCCCGCTTGACCTCCGCCGCTTTGGCAAAATCCTCGGCATCCAAGGCAGCCCGCTCTTGCGTCTTGAGGCGCTGGAGCTTCTTCTTCAGCTCTGGGTCGACGTTCTTGTCCTGGAGGAGCCTTGGGATGCTGTCGGCCTTATGTGTTTTCGTGCAGCGGTTGAGCAGGCGCTCTACCTCCTGGCGGATCTCCACGATGCGGGCCTCGCGCAGCGTGTGCCAGAAGTCGTCGGACATCAGGTTCTCGTCCACTCCCAAGTCACCCAAGAATGCCTCGGGAATGGTAGAGTAGAATAAATGTCTGCAACATGCCATCTTAGGGTTGGTACCCTAGAGCTGGCTTGCAACAAACATACCACAGTAAGGTTGACCACCCAAGAATGCCTCGGGCCGCAGGTAGGCGTCGATCTTCACGCCCTTGTGGATCCTAGGTTGGCCCTTTAAAGCCTCTAAAAAAATATTCGTAAGTAGGGTCCTGTTAAGCCCAAAAAGGGAAAATATAAAATATCCCAAAGGCCTACCTAGGATCTCATTGAAAAACTTTGAGGCATCCTTCCCCGCCCAAGCGAGGATGGTCGTGGGACCGCCGGGATGTCGATCCATGAACTCTGACAAGTCATAGACCTTTGAGGGTTTTGGTGGTTGAGCGAAATTAGGTTTTTGGAGTTCAGGGTTTAGGTTTTTAAGGTTTTAGAACTTAGGGTTGAGAGATATGGGAGGGCTGTCAGGATCTCCGGAAGGGTACATATGGGCTTCACAAGTCGTGGACCTTGCCGTTCAGCGCCACCCAGCAGTTCTCAGGCGTGCAATGCCGGTTCACCTGCAGAGGGGGGCTTCAAATAATTGTATACGATCTGTTCTAATTATTGTGACTACTTCTGCTATTCGTATGGTGGCGTATTCAAACCCCTAAACAAGGTACCCCTCTAGTTCATGAACCCCTAAAACCCTTTTGCATCCAGGCCTCTTCGCACCGCCGGATACCCCTACAAGATCGAACCAAGAGCCAAACCCTAAACCAAAACCCAAAATCCCAAACCCTAAAGCCCTGAATCCCAAACCCTAAAACCCTAAATCCTTAACCCTCAATCCGAAACCCAAAAACCCTAAATTCCCCGAACTCTACACGACCCACCTCGGAGAGCGGGATGTTCTTGGAGATGGCGGAGGTTCCAGGCTCGTGAATCACTTTCTGCTGAAACTCAGGGACCTAAGGTCTCACGAGTAAAGGGGTTTAAGGTTTACCCTCAGGCTCCAAAGTAGTTCCTTTCTGGGGTTCATATAGAGAATCCTGTAAGGTAATCCCAAAAAGGAACTACTATGGAGCCTCTGGGCAAAGGTTTAGGGTTACGGGGTTTAGGGTTTAGGATTACGCGGTTTAGGGTTTAGGGTTACGGGGTTTAGGGTTTAACGTCATGGGGTTTAGGGTTTTGGGGCCTTATACTGTAAATCTTATAGTATGGAAAATTTGAACAGGGGTTTAATTCTAGGGCTTTTAGGCAGGGTGCGCGTAGGGTTTTTGTAAGGCTTAATCCAGGGGCCTTGGTTAGAATTGGGCTTGATGTAAGAAGGGCCTTAAAGTATTAGAAGGTACTGTATTAGTCTAGGGCTTGATTGATATCATTACAAAGCTTCATAACTGACGAGCTTTAGTATACGGATAGTGTTTTATCAGGGCTTCGAGTGCTGTGAAACTGAGGGACGCTTGCCGGATGCTCGTCGGTGTACAGGGCGGCCATGACTGAAGGCAAGGCGGCGACGAGATGAGAAAAGCGATGGAGTTTCGAACGATCAGTGGTAAGTAGATGCGAATCTCATGCTATGTTTGTGCAACTCATTAAAGATGTATCCAGCACTCGTCTGACGCAACCCCTTGCGCACACTTGCCTGCGATGCTTGCTGCCGATTTTCACGAAAATGGGCAGTCGGGCAGATTCATCCTGTAGAATCAAGCTCACTGACGACGAGCACTCAGCTTCACGTCCGGGACTGGGGGGCTTAATTATGCTGCAGTGTGAATAGGTGACTGTACTGTACTGTTCGCAACCGGACCTTGAGTTTCGTGTGTGCGCGCGTGTGTGTGTGTGTGTGTGTGCGCGCGCGGGTGTGTGTGTGTGTGTGCGCATGTGTGTGTGTAGGGTTTAGGGTTTAGGGTCTAGGGTTCAGGGGTTTTGGGTTTAGGGTTTCGGCGCTCGCACTCGGACAATCCAGGCGAGGCATGTGGTTCAGATTAGGGTTTAGGGTTTAGGGCTTGAACAGGCAAACTCACGGGAACCTCGAGACACTATACTATAGCATACCACACGCTTCTATACTATAGTCAAGCTAGACGACTAGACCTTACAGTGCTAGACAAAACCATACAACACTATACACTGTTATACAATACGATACTCTAGCATTCTCATTCTATACTGTTCTGCACCATACTTCGCTACACTTCACTTGGCTTCAGTAAGCTGCACTATACTTCACGGTGCTGCACAACAGTATCCTCCACTATGCTTCACTATACTTTACTACGCTTTGCTTCTTACGATGCCGTGCTATTCTTCTTACAGTAACTAAACTAGTACTATACTGCACTCTAACATGCCATTGTCTTCATTGAAATATACGGACACGGTTACTATACTATTACGAGACTGCGCTCCAATGTACTACACACTCTACTCGTTGGATGTCGGAGCCCTGCCAAACTTGCACTGCGGACGACCTGCCTTGGAACGTGCACTCCGGAGGAGCATTGCAGCCACCATCCGGTCCTGCAGCGTAATGCTGTGTACATTTCAATCAGAATAGGGTTTCGAGATACCCGCAATATTGAATCAGACCCATATCTTAGTATCTTAAGGATTCAAAAGCATATTCAAGCCATGGATAGACGCAAGGATGATGTTGGCGGAAACCTACCCAGATAACCCAAACCCCTTAACTAAGGAATATGGCTTCAATTATAAGGGGCTTCATATTATGACTTGGCAGTGCTCCGACCCTTCCCTCGTTTTCGGAATGCGGTCACTTGCTGATGGAATCTTGCCTTATGCTACATGTGGGTGGTTGTCAATATTAGGGCCCCTTTTTGGGTCCTATATTATAATACGGCACCTCATATTTCGGCGCTCACACTCGGACAATCCAGGCGAGGCATATGGTTCGGAGTCTGCGAATGTGAGACTTGCTATGGGTGGCAGTCGAGGACGTTCAGCAACAAGGGTACCCCAAAAAAGGGCCCTAATTTTGACAACTACCCATGTGGCTGCATGAGCCTGATGACCGATGCGCCGATCTCTGAGTACTATGCCCAGCCCGAGTGAACGAAGCTACCATGGCAACATGCACCAACGCTGCCCGCACGACGAACACCCAAAACTCTCAGCCTTTAAATCTTAAATCCCGAAATGAAGGCTAATCCCTTGGAGCTACGCCCTACTTTCTACTGCTACTACTACTACTACTACTACCACTACCACTACTACCTAAACTCACACCCCCGTCAGTGCCTGCTTCTCCTCTGGGGAAAGCTCAACTTTGGGCTCCGGAGGTTCCTTTGGCTTGTCCTTGCCCAAGCGCAACTTTGTAGAATAGGGGCCTTGAGAACAACAGAAAAGGCTTAGAGGAAATGATATACAGTCAATATATTAATCTTTATCTCTCTCTCTCTCTCTCTGTATGTATGTCTCTATATGTATATATATATATATGTGTGCATGTATATATACTTATATATATATATATGTAAACACATTTGTCCTCTTTAAGAAAATCAAGTTCTGAGCATTTATGCTTCTATGTGAAGGTGTTTCGAGTTTCCGGGTTGTTTTAATCTGTTGGCGGTTTGGGGCTTAGACTTGGGCAGGTACATTACAGTCCTATACTAAACGAAGTTTTTCAGATCTATGGTGTAGCTTTGGACAGGACATCAGCCGTGTGCACATCGAACAGAGTGTGCTAAAAGAACCAAAAGCTGAGCCATCCTTATGCAGCCGCTGGAGGTAACTGAGCCACACAACTCGGGATGATGGCAGAGCTCCCGCGGGCGGCGTAGCGTTAAAATTGGTCTTAACCCTTGCCCAGCATACAGGCACGAACACACAGGAACAACACAGAGGGACAAACCAAACACATGCAGAGGCGCACACATTCCGAGAACCCTCCGGATGCCGCTGATTACCGCAATTTGTGCCTGCTCTCCACTAACCCTTTCCTGAACCCGAACTCTACCGATCAACTGCGAAGCACTGCCAGACTCCACTAACCCTTAGCCGCCTTGACTTTTTGAGCCCCAAACCCTATTTTGAACCCCAGGCTCTGATCCGGTTCAGCTGAACACCGGCCCCAAACCCCCAACAAAACACTCAAGCCCAGAACCTTGGGCTTAGGGTTTAGGGTTTAAGGTTTAGGGTTTAGGGTTTCGGCGCTCACACTCGGATTAGGGTTTAAGGTTTAGGGGTTTAGGGGAAGTCCTGGGCGAAGTACTTGTCCAGCTCCTCGTCCAATGTGGCCGCCTGAGACCGGGCCTGTGTCTGGGGCTTGAATTGTCCATGAAAGCTGTTCGCTTCCGTGCTGTGCAGCTTCTTCAAGGGCTGCGGAATCCTCAACTCAGGGCAGATCAGCACCAGTACCTAGAATACTGCCTCGCGACAGACATTTTCTGCTGTGTGCTGCATCGTCAGACGTTCACCTTGAGGTGCAGAGCAAGTCAGGCACACAGCAATGTGCAAGCTGACATATGTTCAAGCCACCGTGGTTCGGGCTTGAAATTATGCCTAATATAGGGGCCGTAATAATCAGGATAGGGTTTTGGGGCCCCTTCTACTATAACTTTATTCAGGACCCGCCCCAATATAGTATGGGTAATTATTAAGGCCCCCTATTGCAAACACGTCGAGTTCTCGACGCGTGAAAGTCGCGACAGTGTTCTTCGATCTGCGCTGCGGCCCTTGAGAAGGTCAAGGATGCACCAGGCTGCAGCTGAAGTAACATAGGGGCCTAATAATGATAGATTAGGGTTTTGGGGCACGTTATACCACAGTCATAATAAGGAACCCCCAAAATAGTATTCTGTTCTGGGTGGACTCGAGTCCAAAATAGCATTGGTAATTATTGAGGCCCCTGTCTTAGAAGCATTCGGTGGTTTAGGGTTTCGGGACTCTGCTAGAAATAAGGCCAGTGTGGTGGCATCCAAGACCCAAAGGCGCGTCAGTCATAAGCGATGAAGCAATGCTTGAAGCATTCGGCCAACTAGTTTGGAAAATGTCGGAAAGGTGAACTAGGTTGGCCCTTTGAAGCCTCTGAAAAACATATTCGTAAGTAGGGTCCTACTAAGCCCAAAAAGGGAAAAATAGAAAACATCCCAGAGGCCTACCTAGTAAGTTGATGGGCTCCAAAGAGACTGATTCACTGAGAAGGCGAGCATCCAGAACCATCCTCGTGCCTAAGCAGCGGCTTTTTATCCAGCTTCCGAGCATGCAGAATCCAAAGACTGCAACTAACGGTTTAGAGTTTAGGGTTTAGGGTTTAGGCTTCCACAAGCAGCATAACAAGGACGTGGATGATCGCACTGTTTTCGAACTTGAGGACGAAGCCAAACACGAAAAACAACATCCTACAGCAAACCCCAAAGCCCTTCAGCCCAACACCAAAACCCAAAAGCCCAGAAACGGAAACAACGCGAAAACCTCCACCCCAACTTGCCCTTGCCATCGACAGGAAATTAATAGTGAAACCTGCAGAACGTACTGACCACAGTGCGGAAAATGCGACTGTTCCCTAGGCGACAGTCCTGGACTCTGGCTCCTACATGGGTGCTTGTCAAAATTAGGGTCCCGTTCTGGGTACCCTAAATATTAGGTGCCGTATTATAATAGGGACCCAAAACGGGACCCTAATTTTGACAGCCACCCACATGTTTCTACACCCAAAACCTCGCAGTTAGTTGCGGCAGTGTCTCAGTGACATGGATCCAGTCTTTAGGCTGGTCATGGAGACGTCCGCAGATTGATCTCCCATAGTCCTCCCAGGCCACTTGTGCTTTGGGTTTCGTCTACGCCCTAAACTCTGAAACCTCTAACCCTAACGCCTCGACGTGCTCATCACTACCGGCCTGGCACTTCCACAAAGGTCGCAGTGCTCAGAGTTCTCGTGATTCATGGCCGTGCAAAAATCGCACTGCCAGCCGGTGAACGGGCTCCACAATGGATTGCAGCAGTCCTGTTGGCAGCACATCTGCGCGAACGGTCAACCAAGGGATGTCTTTGCCCCGGATGATCGTGGGGGACGTTCGTAAGTGTCAGATGACGGTCATTTAAGCCTTCCAACCCTGACTATAGCACTTAGACGAATCCGGTGATGACTACGTGTCCAATCCAGTGATCATCTATGTAGCACTCCAGAATTCCAAAGAGAAGGCTTCGATGGCGGATACTCTTGTACACCGCATGACCGGTTGCAGTTCCTGTTCTGGCTTCGGAAATGTTTGGTGCTTGAAGACATCTTCTTCAAGTGGCTCATAGGGTCAGCACGAAGCACCCACTGCTTAATTAAACCGTCTACTGATGCTGGCAGCATACCCCCAATCCTAAGACAAAAGATGAGCCATGCCCTCACTCCTTCTTTTTCGCCTTCAGCGTCCCAAGGGCAACCGCCAAGGCGGCATGAAATGGGCAGCACTGCGCGCTCAAGTAGCTGAAGTTCCAGTGCTTGAAAAGCCAAATGAGGGATGTTGAGACACAAGCGGGTCCTGAGCAGCGGGATGATCTGTAGGGTTATGTGTTTCGGGTTCATCAGGTTCATCAAGCTCAGTCTCAAGCCGAGACAGAAAACAAGTCTCTCCCAGAGTTTCTCCCTAAACCTTACATCCTTAAGGGGGGTTTAAGATTCTTGGGGTAGGGATTCCAACAATATGAACCCCATTATGGGAACCCTAATCCCTACTAAACCCCCATAGGCTAAAACCCCTTTTGGCCTCCTATGACCTACATCCTACCTATAGTCTCTATTGTAGTTCCTTTTTTTGGTTAACCAAAATCTCTATTATAGGGTCCTAACCATAAAACTGGTTAAACCAAAAAAAAGAACTACAATGGAGACTATAGGTAAAACCCTAGGGCCCGGGCGAGTCTGTGGCCAACATGGGGCTGTGAAGCGAACCAAGGCCAGCTTGCTGCTGTCAAGCGCGGGATGCGGCTCGCTGAATCCGCCGGGATACTGCTCGCCTGGACCTTTCTAGGGTGTGGGCTGTGTGCGGTCCCCAGATAACCCAATACCCCTTAACTAAGGAATATGGCTTCAATTATAAGGGGCTTCATATTATGTATTAAGCTATATTCCTTAATTAAGGGGTATTGGGCTCTCTGGGTCAAGGTTTCTGCAGTCCAGCAGGTGCCGCGCCAAAGCCAAGTCAACATTTGACAGCATGCACAGAAAAGCCATAATCCTGGTGTTCAACATGCATCCCACACTTTGAGGCAAGGCAGACATGGATGGTGGCCTAAAAAGTACCTAAAGAACCACTCAAACCTCCGACTGCGTTTCGAAGTTGTTTTGAGGTGCCTAAGAAAATATCATTTGCCAACCACGGTGCATTCACTGCCAGAGCTATCAGTCGAGAAGCAGGAGCCCGAGAAGCCTCAGGTGTAGGGCTGTAAAGGTTTTTATGGGAGCTTAGGGGTTGAGGGTTTAGCGGGGTTGAATCCAAGGGTAAGAGGCGGGACCCTAAATGAGGACCCCTATGTATATACCCTTAATACAGCTATTATATACCCATTATATAGACCATTATAGGGTAGGGGTCCCCACTAAGGGTCCCTCCTTTCCCCCTTTGAAAGGAGTTTAAAAGGATTCGCTTATACGCAGTGGGGGCCTTCATAATTTTGGTGTGGTTTTGGGGTATGTGTACTGACTACTATGTATCGACTCAAGCTGAATATTCAGACCTCCGGAGCGTTATACCGGGAGCGCGGCTATATCAGGGGTAGTAGATTTTGCAAGGGGTTTCTTAAAGACAGTGGTTGACAACAAGGATCCGACAATTGAGACTTGTTTGTGATTGTCCAGTGATTTCTGCACCTCGCATCTCATCAGCAGTGTACGACTCGTATGTCGGCTCTTTTTATCTTGCCAAAATGAGGTGTGCGCGCTCTGCACTCAGAAAGTTAAACCCCGAAGCCTAAAGCCCTCACCCTAAACAAAAACATCCGCGGAGCCTGAAGCCTAAATCTCATAAACTACGTTTGAAACCCCTTAGCCCTGTAACCTAAAGCCCGGAAAAGACAAAACCGCAAAGCCATCAACTCAACCCGAACTGTGTTAAACCCTGAACCCCAAAACCATAAAGCTCTAAACCAATAAGAATTCTCTGCGCACCCTGATGGAATCCAGTTTGTAAACGTCTTTCTAGCGGGCAAGCCTTCGGCAGATTGGACCGGGCGGTAAAAGCCAGTGCGGCTGCTCGGGTGCATCGGGCACTTTAGGGTTTAGGGATTAGTGTCTATAGGGTTTAGGGTTTACGCTCTCACAACTCGGACATGCCAGGCGAGGTTCTAGGGTTTCTAGGGTTTAGGGCTTACGGTTCTTCTGAAGCCCATCACACTCTAAGCTCTTGTACAATATCACCGGAACCTGAGACAAACAATGAAACCAGAACTGCCTCAGGCAACAAACGCGAGATGCGGCGTGACAAACCCCAAACCCTGAAAACATTCAAGCTCCAAGTCTAAACGCTGAACCTGAACACCCCAAGCGCTGAAGCCTAAACCGCCGCAGTATCCTCAAAAGGATCCCTTAAAGAATCCCTAGAAGCGGAACTCTTAACCGTGAACCGTGAAGCCGCCACCTCAAAGCTTAGGTGCTCCTGCTCCGAAACTTCTTCTTCCTCTTCTGCAGGGCCTGGGCACGGCAAGAAGGAACATTTTCAGGCGCCTAATATTCTGACTTGAGGCGTAGGCATCTGCAAAAGTGTCTGTAGGGCTTGTTTAGGTGGTATAACATTGTTGGTGGCGGCTTAGCGGTACACACACACACACACGAACACAGACAGAGACAAACAAAGAGACACACACGCACACACACAATGCCCACACACGCTCGTGCTCGCGTCACACCTGCACACAGCGGAAGCTACCCAACACTCGCTCACTTAACCCGGTAAGAATGGCAATCCGTGAAAAAACACAGTCAGAACGAAGCAAGTAGCCCACACAAGTTGGACTTTTCGACTATTCCAATATACAAGGCAAAGACGGCGAAGAACCTTTCCGCGTACGGCCTTCACTGGAGCATAGAGAGTAGACATCTCTGTCTCGAGCAGCTGAAAGCTGCGTGGTACAGAAGTTGGCGAGACAAAACAGACCAGAATATAGTACCCTAAATGGTAGGATCCTTATTGTAACGACCCCAAAACAATCTACCCTCATTTTCGGAAACTCCCATATGTTCTGACCTGTCGGGAGCACATCGCACCTTACCCTTTCAGATCCAGCCCTGCTCCTTCAACGCGGAAGCCTTATACTTAAGCCAC